TTGTCCTGACTATCAAAGACAGTTGGAAACGAGTTTTGAGGGCGTTGTCGCCTCATTTGTCATGTGTATTCGCCTGAGAGTTTCAACATCACCTAAGCAACATTAGAGAAGGTTGTCACGTCACTAGTTTTTCTTAGCTCTGAGGACGCCGAAGAGGCTGTGTTGTTCACTGTCATGTTGCTGAAGAAAGGTTGCAGCGTCGTGGTCCCCGGTGTCGTCTCCTAATTGTCGCCGTAGAGGTTACTGCTCTGTAAAGGTCGCTAATCTATGGTCGTCGGCATCGTCTCCCTGTTTCAGGTTTACGGCTTGTCACAGTTTCATCTGGCAGCTGTCCCAAGTCCTAGCATTCTAGTTCACGGTGTTGTGGTCGTGCGCTACTCACTTGGTGGCCGGCGGTGTCCTCCAGGTTTGTGGTTCGCGACGGCTGGATAAGGAGAAGGAACCAGGTCAGAAAGCGGGTCATAGGGATTCAGTTTCATGGGTGTTGGGCATCAATGTTTTTCGTTTGGGCTTGACATTAAAAAGAAAAAAAAAACAAATATTTTTGTAAATTATATTTTGGCCTCAGATTAAAATTATCTTACTTGGCCCGAAAATTTTAGAATTTACATTTTGACCTTAGGTGTGAAAATTATAGTGTGATCCCTTAACTTAAAGGATTGCCTTCCCAAATCCAAAATTACCTCTTTGCCCTTAGACACCTTTCAAAATTTCATAAAAGTCCCAGATTCACTTTCTAATTTCTAAAAGACCCAAAGAACTTTAAAATTATTTTTTTTTGTCTTAAAGTTCATAAAAGCCTTATGATTTGTTATGATTTAGATCTTATTGCATCAATAATGAATATACCCCATAAGCATGACATTGTTAATGTAATTTTGAAATTTAAACTTTTAAGGATAGGCATATATCACTTGTGATGTCTTAGATATTTGTTGTTCTTTATATGCATGAAAATATTTAATATATTTTTGGCATGAAATTTTGTGTGAACCAAATCTATGTAGTATAACAACCTACTTGATATATGATAATAGTTGCATAACTAAACTTTGTTTGTTAGAAATTTTTTAATATAATTATGTTATGCATTCATAATTATTATTTCTTATTTTCTATTTTGCGTTTTTAGTTTCTATCTTTGAGCAATTATCTCTTGTTAAGGCCTTTTATAAGGCTAATATGATCAGTTGCAATAGTTTATAAGTATGTATCTTACTATTTTGGAAGTTATTTAGCCTTTAGAGAACCAACATTAGCAGGTCTCACTTTATAGTCCAATGCTTATTACAAGTATTTGTATAAGTCTAACTGGATATGTTTGATAGTGATTGAATTTACCATTGAGAAAAGGAATTAGGGACAAAAATTTTGGTGAGATATATTATTTAATGCTTAATAACATTCAATTATAAGAGGACATCTGGTTTTAGGGAACATATCTTGAATTTATATGGGGTCGACATAGGTGTATTTCCTATTCTATAAAATTGCTACAACTAAAGTATGAATTATTAACGTCTTCTTACTTCACACAAGAAAGAGGTGATATTGATGAATCATATAATATTAATAGTAGTTCACAATAACCTCTAATCCACAGGAACCTCTAATATGAGGGGTAAGGTGTTTTGAGTTTGAAACAATTTGGGAAGTCCCATTTAAGTGGGAGTTGGTAGACTTAGAAAATCACCTCTTATCATCTCATTTGGCCTACTAATTTCTATTTGTCTCATTTAATGGACATTAGAGAATAGAAGAGATTAGGCTTTAAAAATATTGTCCTTCATAGGCTTATAACTTATATCACTCTTGATATTTTAGGCATGTAAACCCTTTATATCACAAGTCCTATGTATAATATTCTGTTATTGATAGTAGAGTCATTTGAGGAATGGATAAATGACAGATATTTGGAGTTTCTAGCTCCATCTATATGCTAAGAATATATCTCTGAGATATCGCAAGAGTCATTTACACTTTATGATAGTTTGCCTAATCCAATCATAATGTGTTATTTGAAAATGTTATGTTGACAATGAATTTGACTTTATAGGTATGTCATTGTCAATGTAATCTACGGTTAAAATTTTAAAATTGTCTATAAACACTATATTAGTTAAGGATGCTCTCTATAAATGAGATATTACTATTGTTAGTAGTTGGTTGGGCATTTAATTTTTGGCAAGTTTGCAAGTAAAGGTTCTAATGCTTTGATGTTTCTTGTGCCTTACAAGTGTGATGACATTAAATGTATTTTTGTTGTAACCCTTTTGATAAAGTCCTAATCTATATTTAAATTGGATGCACAATAATCTAGTGTTTGAAATAATGTATGATAAATTATTTGTATAAGATTGAAAATTATAGGTGAGATCTTTAGTTAAAAAAGATTAATCTTAAATAGAGATTCGAGGGAAGGAAATTGGCATGCCTTAATAAGATGGTTGTGTTGAATTTTGTTAAGAACATTTGCAACTATTTAAAACCATGTATAGGAATAAGGAAGTTTCTGAGTAGTAATTTTGAAAGTTTGATACGGCTATTAACTCCTTTTAATTTTATTTAGAATACTTCAGACTTGTGAATTTGTTAAATGTTTGAGAAAATCAATCTTTTGCCTCTTATGCTTCATATTAATAACTAATTATTATCTAGTGATTAAGTTAACAAGACAAAGTATTTAAGAATATGCCACCTTGATATAAAATATTATGTTCGACATATTTTGTTCAAAGATTATTATCTATTTTAATAAGTCTATTGACATCCTTGATTTGTCTCAAACAATTCATTTTCAATCGAGTATTTAAAATTTAGTGCACACTCCTAATCTGATATATGTGTTAAAGGGTATAAGGTTGCTTGAGTTTCAATATCCTTAAAATAAATATCGAGGATGACCATTTTGCATGTAAAGAATTTTCGTATGCTTTCACTACAAATGACTGTAAAGATGCTAAAATATGCACCAATCTTTGATGTAGACTTTATTTCAAGCACTCCTTGGTAAATACTTGCGAAATTGTCACAAGAAATTACTAAATAATCATTTTGAAAAATTCTTATATATTGAAAGGCACGTGACCCCTTGATGGTGGTTGTTAAAATTTGGTCATTTTTTTTCAAAAAAAAATTGTGATTATGAGGATTTAAAAGATGCATCATGTGTATTCCGTGATATAGAGGAGTTGTCTTATAAAAGGAGTGCATGATAGACACTTATAGCTATCTCAATTTAGAATGTAGAATATATATCGCTTATCATAAAGCTTTTCATTAGACTATATAGTTGAGGAAATTATTATGGGACATGCGTTTTGTTGTTTCCTCTAACTATTATTGCAATATTTTGTCTACCTCAAACTTTTATCAGAGATTTTGTTAGAGAATACTTAGACTTATCTAATTCATATCCGCGATGAATACATGCTTATGAATATGCATGACCGAAGGCCTACCCATATGGTTTTATTGATCTTTTGTGACAACCTTGACTCACTGGGAGTCTGAGTTGCGTCTTTTTAAAAGACATTTGATATTTTAAGGCCATTTGCTATTATACTCAATTTTTGTTTTAGAAACATTGAAATATTTTATATCATGTGTTTCTCCATATGATTCAATTATTTCTATTTATGTGTCTTATATCACTTATTTCTTCTTAAGATTCAGTGATCTTATATTATTTCTCCATTGAGTTTCAATCTTGGTTTAGAGATATCATGATGCTTCGTATCATTTGTTTTTCTATAAGATTTAATGATTTATGCTAGTGTACCTCATGCCATTTGTTTCCCTATAGAATTTAGTGGCTTTGTATTGTCTCTTTATTGAGCTACCGTCATAAGACCTACTTTAGGTTCAATTCAATTAGATATGCATACATATCATTTGTAATCTTATAGAATTTAATGATTTTGTTATATACGCTATGCACGTTACTTGTTTCTCCATAAGAATCAATGATCGTTGGATGTTATCTTACTGTTGTGTTTGGAATAAAATTTTCACATCCTGTTCAATTTAAATTATGAGACATTATTTTATGTCAAGTATCACTTGTTTTCCTGTTGAATCTAGTGACTTATAAGGTTTCATTTTTTGATTTTTGTCAGTGGCTCAATGTTATTAATTAATGCAATCCAATTGAAAGATTGTTGATATATTTATATACTATATATATATATATATGTGAATTTGCATTAATTAAATATTGAGCCTAGAATATATTAGTTTTTCATACTCTTGTGTGGACTATAACAGGTAGACCACACAAGCGAGTCCAATTAGTAAGGCCCAACTTATAATTCTGTAGCAATCAATTATTTTCTGTCTCTTAATTAACCGAGTCAATGATAGTGAGAGATTAATAAATCAATTAATCAATTATTGAGGTAATTACTGCTATAATGTATCGGTCAATAGTCAATACAAAGAACTCTCTTTTCATTATTTCCCCATTCTCTATACTTTCTGAAAAACTACAAGGGTCTAGGAGGTTAAAGTCTGCTTACACTCAAGATAATCAAGAAGTCACAAGATATGAATTTTTCAAGTATGCATGTTAACTTTTCATCTTATTCAAGTTATATATATTGAGATACTAATTTTAACATGGGAAGGAGCAGAAAAATGATAGAAGCTATATACAAGGGCATTACTTCATTTCATCAGCACAGAAATCAGCATGTGTGCTTGACTAGTACGTGCATAAACGACACAATGGAGTACTTACTCAAGTCCTAAACGACCTCCGTCCCAATACATTATTCATAACCTTGGCCCTGACTACGAGCCTAATATGAACTGGAGGCCCATGTCATTGGACTCTTTACACTGAGAAGGTTCGAGTTAAAACGTCCATAACACTGATTGTGTACATCCCTGATTAACAAGTGGACCCCTAAAAGAAGTACACTATTGTCGCAACGCCATAAACACATTCACATTTCGACACTATAAAATGACCAGTACTTTTTATCAAGAGAAAAAAGAAAGATTTCCAACTTTTGTACGCGAACCTTCCTTCCTTGTGTAAGTAATCCCATACAACAAAACACATCCAGCCCGTTTTTAAAAAACAAAAATAGATTCAGAATTGTTACAAGGACGTTTGAAACAAAACAATACAAGCACCTAATAAACATATGGCCTTGGAAATTCTGGCATCGGATTCCAGAGCTAAAAACTGATTCTGCTAGGCTGTGCCTTGGTCATCCTGGCTTCACCTGAGGGTTCATCGTTATCCATCCTGCGGTTGTTCCTAAAGCAGCATAAGCAACTATATAGAAGATAACAGGATGATCATGACGACAATGTTGATCACAGATACTCTTCTCCAGCTCTTCTTGATGCTGGCAAGCACACCGGCTTTACAAGAATCACAAGCATAGCATAGCTGCTCTTGGTCGTTGCTCCACCTGGTGCAATCTGGGTTTGGCCCAACCAATCCTGACCCTTGGATCCAATTCGTTTCGTTTTGATACACATACCACACTCTGTTGGGGGCTTGCAGCATCCAGACTTAAATCCCACAAAAAGGAGAATATTTGTCACTTCAATGAGAGTTCAGAACACGAGCCTAGCTTTTAATCAATAATTGTTTTGTTCGATAAAGTGGAGTATCCAGAAGAACATCGCAAGACTAGCTAGTTTCCAAGTTTGTTGGGAGTAGAACCCCGAATATTTGTGTCTCATCGAGAAATAGTAGTCTTGAACTTCTATTTCGTATGTTCGTAGTTTCTTTGTAGCGTAGTGAGGCAGGTATGTTCTGATTATTTTGTGCAGCATTCAGTTAATTTCTCTTGCAATATGATGAAAGGTAGACTATATTCATGTCAAGTAAAGAAGATATGATCACATCTCTTGATTTTTTAAATAGCAGGATGGCATATAAGAATTTTTTTTTTTTTTTTGGGGCCAAAGGCATATAGATATTTATACTTCGAATACTGGTAAGATAAGATATTCAAAAAATCATTACGCCATCGCCTGACATGGCTGATTTAAATTCACGATACATCGAACTCTGTCAAACCGCCTTTATAACTGTTAACTTTCATAAAACATCATATTAATTATGTCATTTTTATGGCATCTTCCTCTGTTTCACCCAATATATGTATGATCAAAATCTTAAATATCATGGCGGCATATTTTGATATCATAGATGCTGAAAGAACTATTAATTCCTTCCAAAGATATTCCATCTAAGCTCTGTATATGCTCAACCTCCAAAAACAGAATGCAACATGTATGTATATATATATATATATCAGCACATCATATGCTAACTATATCGCTAAATTAAGCCGAATCTTAAGCTTCATTTCAATAAAATTATCATCATGCTTTTCACCTTCCACTAGAAAAGAAAAGATCAGACAACGGCGTGCTACGAGAGGTTCAAGACGCTACATGTGTTCGAGAATAGAAAAAAGAAGAAAAGACTAGAGGCGGTTATGTTCTAGTTGAATGTAGGAACTAAGAGACAATTGCTATGATTTTTCATCTACCAATTGAAGCAAAACACACGCTTTTTCTTGTCCTTTAGAAAAAAGACGAAAGCTGAGTGAGACACAACACCTACCTTGTGGCACCAAACAATCAATCATATCAATACTTCTTCAATCGTAAACCCACTTCTAATTTGAAACCTTGTTATATATTAATCATGAATCACCATACATGTTTAATATTAAATTAAATTATTATATATTATTAGTAGTATAATATGTTCTGTAATATAAATGGAAATCAAAACGGACATAAAGTACCGTTATTTTATTCATCTGTTTTCTGATAATTATTCCTTTCCAGGTTTATAAATTATGGAAAATTAAACAAAGGAAGCACTTCATTTTTGTGTTGAAAACGCTGATAATTGGAGCACTCTTATAAAAATGAAAAAGCAGAGGGAGGAGGGAGCATCACCTACTAGCACACGTACATGACGTTTGTACATGCACCAAGGAGATATATTGTAGCCTTCATGCTTTATACAGTGGCACGGCTCTTAATTTTTAAATAATACATTGTTGAAATGCTTTATAATATATATATATATATATATATTGATGATTGATGGTTAACCCAAAGGGCGGCAAACAAAATAATAAAGTTTCAATCAAGCCAATATATATACATATATAGAAGTGAATGGAAAATCCGTAGATATAGAAAAAAACAGTACCGGCACAAAAAAAAAAAAAAGGAATGAAAGTTCGCAGTAGCCCGGCTACCCCACACATAGATGTTTTTAGTTTTTTTAATTTATCCTCCTCGCCTGAGATCCACTTTTGATTTAATACTAAGCTATATACTAAAAAAAATTAAATTCTTATTTGTTATAAAAAAGTTCTAATGGCAAAAAGTGAAATTAAATTTTAAGTATATTTTCATTTTTTAAGATGTGATGAAAATATTTGTTTTCATTCAAAAAATTTTAAGTAAATTTATATGATTCCAGAATACAATTTACGTTTTTTTTTTTCTTGCATGATTGCTGTATTGCTTAATTATATTGGGCCGAACCCCTTTCAGATAACTCTTTCACTTCTCTTTGCCCCAACCAGATAACGCTTTACTATTTGGTATCAGCTACTAGAAAGATCTTTTCATGCTGTTTGGACTTGCCTCGGTATGTGCTATGGCTTCCTTTTTATTTTCTCCCGCTTCTACTGGCAAGTAAGGGTATTCAAATGCAAATAATAGCAGTAGCTACATACGACAGCCATGCCAATACCCACTGGTCTGCAGGCTAGCAGGCTATTTTAGTACTATTCGTGTCCTACGTCAGTTAACGTGGCTTGCATTTGATTGGCTCACGAACCCTTAACTTTCGGAGCTTCCGCGGTCAATGCTTTTAAACCCCGTCGCCCCCTCACATGATGCCACCGCCCTTAAGGTTCCTTTCATCACACAACTGATCCATCTCCTAACCCACCTCGCCATTTAATCAACGCACCTTCTTTCCTTCAACTTCTTCATACTCCCTCCCCGCCCTCCCCCAAAATAAAAAAATAAAAAATAAAAACTACTTCAAATAAATAATAACTATATTATTATTTTAAAACATAAATATCTCCATGACTTCAAGCTTCTTCTAATATATACCAAGTCGCTTTCAAAATTTACCTGTATCTTTTGAGGTGATTTACTTTTCTATGTTTGAAATTCACGCAGGACAAAAAGGGATAAAAATGAGCCCACACCGTGAAGCTCACAACACAAGCTTCCTCCAAATTTCAATCCAAGTTCGTTTCATTTGGTAAGCATAACACTTATAACCAGTAGCTTGATGGGAACCATGCCATGACTAGCTAGATGAAAAGAAAATTAACGCACTCGTGATCTAATCCTATAAAATAACGGGGGAGAAAAAGTACTAGATTGATTATATTGGAACAAAATAGTGAGGCAGAAACAAAAGCATTATATGTTCGTGGCGTACCTGAATAGGAGAGAGTCGTCGGAGGTAGAACATATCAGCAGATTCAGGGACACCACCGACGGTTCGGCCCATCTTAGCACACGCCTTGGAGTCCCTAATGCAAGAGCTGATCTTGCCCCAGTAGCTATCGCTCGCCACTCTCTCCTCCAGCCAACCGGAGTAGTCGTCCAGGTGATACTCCATGTACGCCCGGTTCGTCACCGCCCGACCCGATCCCTTGTCCGTCACCACGTACGCGAATATTATGAACCCTATCAGGGCCGCTATCACGAAGAACATCACCACCAGGTACAGCCGCATCAGGAACGTGTTACGGTAACACGCGCCGGCGAATCCCGCCAGCGACACCACCATGATGCAGATTCCGATCACGATCAGCGGCCACTGCAGGAACTTGAGGCAGTCCGTGTTGTTCGCTCTGCTGCTCAGCCATATCCCGCCTCCTAAGATTGGGATCGACAGCAAGAAGGTCAGGAAGTTTACCAGACCAATCAAGTGGTTGCTTGTTCTCATATTTTGACTTTTTCCTTGGGTCAAATACTGTGTTTTTGAGGAGACAACGGAGTTATGTGAGAATATTTTTCTTTGTTACTGAGAGGTAGCTGAAGCTGAAGCAATTATGATAGAGGAATGGAGTTTGTTAGCTATGGATTGTGATCTTGGGAGGGCGTATTTAATGATCCCACGTGGGCTTCAGGGTGCGCCTCGCTAAAAAGACTCAATTCTCAGTGCATTGTGGACAGGTGTCCACTTGGTGCCGACCATCTCAAATGACTTCATACTTCGGTGCCCTTATCTATTTGAAAACATTCACTGGCCCTCCACATTAAAAAGTTAATTTTGGAAAAAATAAAATAAAAAATAAAAATAAAAAAACAGTGAAAATTTAAAAACAACTATTCTTCTTTTGTCTAAAATGGCGCCAGTAGGGATAAAATTCAAATGTAACAGTTAGTGTCTTTGGATTTCATTTGACAAAAATTGATTATAAAAAAATTAATTATTAAAACATGATGATATTTGGATAGTATTTTTTTAAATTAATTTTGATAATTGAAGATATCTAGATAATTTCCATAATCAATTATAAAGATGGAAAAAATAAAAACTACTCGAATATTGAGAATTTATTTTTAAATAGAGATAAAAATAATTTCTTGAAAATGAAGTTCCACAAGTTAAATGAAGATTTGAAAATTTAAAGGTGTTTGGAAAGATTTTTGCAAGACTATCGTTTTTATTCTAGATCGAATTGATCTAAATGAATATCCAAACAAGCCCTGTATAAAATATTATATGCATTATTGTCATGAACCAATTGCTAGTTATCTTAATAACGTCTCAGCTCCTTACAGGCATAAGGTCCAATGAAATTTGAAACCTGCGTTGACGACATATGAGTGCATGAGTCTATATGTCATGTTGATATTATTTAAAATTTATAAATAGAATGATTTATGGTAAATTTTATATATCTACTTTTTACTGGAATATTAATACTGGTTTGGCAAATTTTGGTGGGGGAAACCTGGAAGGTCAGAAAAGATTAACGTGCAAGTCACCGACATATATAAAGGCTGGATAAGATTGGCAAATTTTGTCAGCATCTTTGTTTTACGCGGGGCTTGAACTGTAACGTGTGCGAAAGTGCGTTACTCGTAAGTTTCCTTTCCCGATGGAGTGAGTGAAGGTGGAAACATGGGAGAAGTATCGTGGATTCATGGCTAAGCCTAAGCATCGTCAATTTTCTTTATCCCCTGAAAGCAACATACCCTTGTGTGTGTGTGTGTGTGTGTGTGAGCTTAAATGAGTCGGTTCCATGAATTAATCAGGGTCAGGGCATTGTGTGAAAAGTTCCCTGGCCCTTGTGAATCCAACTTTGGAGCTTTCATGCAAATGTTTATCTTCTTGTGTCATGGATGCAGTCAACATTTCCCAGTTAATTTTCTCGCACGCCACCGGTAATGAAGAAATAGACGAGGCGATCAATATGCCATACGTTGAATTGGTTGAATTAATTAGTATTAATCATTTAATTGCTAATCGATAGTCTTAAATTCTATATAAAAAGTATCACATTTCATTAGAAGTTAAGAGATTATATCCTACTTCAAGAGGAAAGTTAACAAAGATTCCACCTCATTGTTTTCACCCCAAAGTGATTTCAAGGTTAATGGTTTGGTGTAAATCTTTCAAGCAATGGAGTTTCTCTTCTTCTGTGCGTAATATATATAAAAAATATCTTTTGTCTATGTTAAAAAAAAAGTGGTCGACGCATTTTTATTTGAGTTTTTGTTGACAGAGAGTGCAGTAAATACTGTATCTATGTGCGAACAAGCAACATACCATGGTCAACATAAGCATTCATGGTTTATAACCAGTGCCGTTCATGTTTTAGATTATGTTCCATGCAATGAAGTACTTCTTCCAGTGCTGTCTATTTGCAGGACATTTTTTGAAAGTAATTTTTTATTTAAAATATAAGGTATCTTATAATATTTAAATTATTTTTTTAATTTTATCATTTTTTAATTAGCATGAAGGTGTTTATTATAATTGTATTGTTTATTAAAAATTAAAAATAAAAAAAATCTCATTTTTTATTATATAAATAAATTTTTTTTTTAAACACATAAGGAAGTATTGTGTTTACACTTTGCCCCAAAAAAGAAATCTTATATCCGTACCGTTGTTTCGATTTAATATTTTCGAGCATGTCAAGATCATGTGAAGGACCCCTTTTTTCATACACTTAAAGACAAGGAGCGAGCCGCGCAAGCAAGCATGAAGTTTATGACAAATTTTTTAATTTCTGAGGTTTGTTCCCGAAATGAACTAAAAGGTGACAGCCATTGATCCAACCAATGGCCATTGACTATCATCGCTACTGATTTGCTATTTTTTTTTAGCTACGTGCAAATATCCTCTTATTAAAAATAATTTTATTTAAAATATTATTAGGTACTAAACATGAATCTCTTATAACAGTAATTCAAATCTTGGTTTTTGTGAATGAGTAGCCACATGTATTAAATTCAAATCTCCCCAGACGATCTCCTAAATTTGTTAGGCTCAAATATTTTTGGTTTTGATCTCTTGAAATTACTTGGCTTTCAGGCTTGATTTTCCTTTTTTTTTTTGGTCTAATTATTTGGTATTTGAAGCCAACAATTCTTATTAATCCAAATTCAAGCACTGTAGAGCCTCAACGGAGGGTGGCTCTCCTAAATATATTTTCTCCATTCCCATCACCTTCAAAGATCAAATTCAAGAACCAATAATCAAGAAAACTTAGACTCTTTATCATTTGAGCCAACATGCATTGGTTCAGGCTTGAAAAGAAAGAAAGAAAAAATTACATCATGACGTCGGACCCTTCAGAAAGCAGACTTTGTAGGGAGATGGTCAAAAAGCATGGGCCCGTGTTTAGCCCATTGGGCCTAACTATCTAAAAGACGAAATCGTGAAAAGCCTCTTTCCACCCGTTAGTTTGAAGGTCCTGAGCGATATCTTGGATGCAAAATGAATTTTTCATATAATCATAATTAAAGGCTAGTGATAACAAATAAAATGATAAACATTTTATTTTTATTATATTTTTTTAATTTTATTTATAAGTCACTTTCAATATATTAAGAAAAACTTTAAAACTCATTAATTCTATCTTAAAATTTAATAAGTTTTTACTTTTATCCTTATTAAACATACACACTTCAATAATATATTTTTTTTTAACATTTAATGGAGCGTAAAAAAAATTAAAATAAAAATTTAATAACGTGACCTCTATATATGACCAAAAAAAAAATTTTTTACTCTATAAATAAAATTGAAGGGAGTACTTTTTATTATTTTCACAATCTGTAATCTATAGTTATTTGTGTGATTCTGAAAAAAACAGTTTAATAAGAGCTCATTTTGTCATTTAATTTTTACATTGAGATCGATGACTTTTCAGGACCTTCAAACTGTACGGTTCCAATTTTTGTCAGGAAATGTGCTCGCAGTGCCTTATCATGTCTTAAATATTGCATCCAATAAAAGAATATTTGTAAGTAATAATAATAATAATAATAATAATAATAATAATAATAAAATCTTCAAACTCCACGGTGGCAAACACGAATAATATACCCTGATGTTTTCTTCTCATACTTCAGTGAAAAACCTTATTCTTCGTTACAATGCTAATGCTGGCATAAGACAGTATCTATGGATTTTTGCCCCCCTACAACCAAATAAGGTATGGTTAAAATTGATATTGCGTTTTATTATAAATTAACGTCGTGACACATTTTCTGGCCAAAGAAATATCGTGAGACCTTTTTTTTTTTTTGGAAAAAACATAATGAGAGGGTGAATCTCAGGTTTATATTCATTTCTTACCAGGTTCTTGTAACGTGCCTCTGGGAATTTATTACCTGTCAGTTGCGTGCGAGTAGTAGAGTTTTGAGCTTCTGAGTGACAAAATGACCAGAGCATCTTGCTCCGTCGTATGCATGTTTGTCGTATATTCAGTTTTACCCAGAGACAATATTCTTTTCGGAAAAGCGTTGATGCGAAGCACTTCACTTGCTAAAGATGTCAAGCTCAGACCCAAAAGCAGGACTTTCTCCAGGTTTACATTGTAACTCTTGAACCCACGCTTTACTCTCTGTTTTATCTTCAAACAACAATTATCGTATTTTCATAAGCAAAATCTTAAAAACAAGATTCTATTTATGATACATAAATGATGATAGATTAGCCCTAATTTTTGTTTCCTAATTAATTTAATCCTGTTTTTTTTTTTTTATCAATATAAATGGGGTACTAAGTGATCCGTTTTTATACAGTGACGCCAATCCCCAAAGGTACCGAGGTGGAAAAGGAAAGGTTAAAAAAAGGCAGAACAAGGATTAAGAGGTCAACCCGAATAGAGATATGATATTGGAACCCCCTGCGGGGGAGCGGACGCAAGCTGTTCCTTAAAACCAATTTAATCGCTGTGACTCCGCAACGACAGATCGGGACGCTCTCTACTACTGCCTTCTTCTTTCCCTCTCTCTTCCCCTGCATTTGCCCGTATTCTATTCCTTCGAGCTCCCCCGACCGGAGAAGCCATCAATTACGGATATAACAGCTTTCTTAGCCCTTTAACCATCTTCCCCTGCAACTCCATTCACCGGAAGTTACGGTTAGTGAGTCTCTATCGATATCTATGCTTGACATTTTTATTCTGTTTGGCTTCTGGGAAAATGCAGGAAAATGTGGAGTGACTCTGAGTCTCACAGATAGTCGTGCTTTAACTCAACCATTTTGCTGTCTAAACATCTCTTTTCTTTTTCCTTCTTGGTTGTTAAAACTGCCTGGTTAGTATTTATATGATTACTATGACCTCGCTGCTCAAAGTACTACTTCATTAAGGTCAGTTGTAGGCTTGTAGTTTTAAATTTCGCCATTTCCATTTTTTGCATTTTTCTTGGAAGATTAAGTTTCTCCTTCTCCTTCTCCTTCACCTTCTCATCCATCTCCTCTCTGTTTCCCCCCCTATGTTTTAGTAGTTTGGAAATTTTTGTTACTTGGAAATGTTTCCATGTATTGAGCGTAATGATGCATATTTTTCAATCACCTTTAGGGATTCTCTGGGTTGGAGCTGAGGAGGAGCCGGGAGGCTTTGCAACTTTTTTTTTTTTTTAATGTTTTCTGACCCTTTTTTGAAAGCAAATCGATTGATAGAATATGTTTTAAAAAGAGTGGATTCACAATGTACTTCTTTTGTTTGTTTGTTTCTGTTTCTTGCTCTTCTTTTTATGCTTTAATTAATATTTCCCTAAATGCTAGCACCTTCTCTCTCGCTCTCTCTCTCTCTCTTTTAATTAAAAAATAGTCTTCCACCACTACTTCAGTTGCAGATTTCAATGTCGTTAACGTCTTAACGATGCTCTTGGGTCTGTTATAGATCTGATTCCCTTTGTTCCTCAGGAATATCCTAGTTAATAATCATCTGAAGTGTTTTTTCGAGGGCCGTATCTTTTTTTTTTTTTTCCATTTTGTCATTTCCTCTTCAGAGAACAATGCTTTAACATAAACTGCCTTACGGAGCATGTATCGTTGCAATCATTTTGTCTAGGTAATGATAATTTTTTATGTTTGCTCGTTGAAAAACCTTGGGAAAATGTCAAATAAGTGAAAGCAAAAGTTTGAGCGGTTTTGGGTAAGGATATTTCCGTGTTCGTACATGATCAACGCTTGCCACTCATTGGCTGGGTCGTGCCCTTGTTTCACGGCAAAATTGGTGGTTCATGACTACTGTATTTACAATTACGAAATTGCCCCGTTGCTCATTAATGGAATCTAATCGGCACACAGGGTAAATTGGTATCTTCAGATCATGAGTGTCTCTGTAATTTTCATTTTGAGTTTGTAGTTGTAGGCCCCCCTTGACCATAATGGTGGGGTCTTTTTTGCTTTGAAAGAGCTTATGAGTTATCATAATAGCAGTTGGTATAAAGTTAGATTTTTTTCTCTTGGGTGATTGACCCAGCACTAAATTTTTACTTCACTTCCTTTTTTTCACCATTTTATGCCGTGCTAATGTCTCTCTCCATCTCCATATTTTCAAGCGATTACCTTCTTCATACAGCGATATTTTAAGTATTTATGCTGAAAAATGAGAAGGAACTTGAATTCTTAGGCATATTCATCCAGTGTCTGAAAAAGGAGGGTAAGAAAATATGTTGACTGTACTAGTTATGAAGAAATGTTTGGCATGTCAGTTATGCTTTTTAGTGAATTTACTTTTGTCATGTTCACGTTTTCTCACATTTTGTCGAGTCCATCACATTTTTTAAAGTGGGGTAAGAAAGAGAAAATCGCAATAACAAGCTCTTGTGCATTTATGGTTTTGCAGTTTCTGATATGGGAGTGTATCCTATCTGCATGAAATCATTTATTTTCTCATAAGTCATTTACCTCCTCATTGGATTCTCTCGTGATATTTTGCTGAACTGGTACAGTCCTTGTGGGTCAGGGAACATTCAAGACACAGGCCAAAGTTATTAACCCGCTTCACTTTCCTTCATACAAGGCAGTTCGACATGCAGACCCCCAAGACAAGGTAATTTTCAAATGCTTTGCCCGTTGATTGGCATTTTTCACTTTTAGTTTTTGCTTTGTTACTTTCAAGTTTCAAAAGTATCCAAAAAGTTCAATCAGCAACATTACCTTGATAGTGGTGATAATCCTTTTATAAATGGACTGTTTAAGATCAAGGACATACTAGCCTTAGGCTCCCCTAGTTCATCCTTTCACAGTTTTTCTCTTTTGGTTTGACTCGTTCCTGCGGAACTGAGAATTTACCTGTCCAATTTACCACTGTGTTATTGTCATTTTCCTCGTCAAGCTATGGGAGAGAGCCATTTTTGGATGGTAAGAATTATTGATATTGATGGTTGAGCTGTTTTTTGCATCTCATTATTTACAGGGAACAATCACGTGCTAGCTGTTCTCTGTTTCTTTGTTCTTCTGTTTTTTGAATAAATTTATTTTTTTACTTTCCTTTTCACATTTTTTTGAAGGCAAGCCTACAGATTCAGAGATTGGGATTAGCTGAAGTTATTCCCATAACTATTTGAAGCCAAAATGGCTGTCAACGATGTTAAAAGAATTGGCTATAAATGACACCATGCAGCTCAATTCCTATTAAATGAAAGACTCGTGCGAGACTCTATTTGACAAATATAAACAAGAATTTAATACAGTGGCAGTTAGAAATATTTGCTCTAGCTGAGATACCACTCATTCCGTCAATATTGATTTGAAACTTCAAATTTGTGTCAAATATGAAGTTAGAATATTTAAATTTGTCTGCTCAAATGGTTCAACCACTCTCTGTGCTCCATCAACTAAACTAAAGGTGGTAATGAGTTGGAAAAATCCACTGATTTGAAATCCATTAATTGCAAGATTGGAGACTTCTAGATATATGTATATTCACTATCCCTAAGGAATTTTTCCCCTCTCACCTCGTCATGCTATTTTTTTTTTTTTTTTATTTCAGAAGCGGATCCTCTGAAGTGCCTCAAAAGGTCTCTCCTCGCGCTGTTCGCCAACTCAGGCCTAGTCCTCTAGAGAGTAACTCTGCTTCTTCGTTCAGTCAAGCCAATAGAGCTTCAAAAGAAAGAAGCCCCAAAGTTGCTGAACGCAGATCACCCAGAAGCCCAGTTCCGGAGGTAATTTTTATTTTGCACCGTTGTGAACGGAGCTCCTCCCCCTTCCCCCACCTAGCCCATCCCTGACAACGTCATACGTTGTATATTGAGGTCAATGTGCTTTTGGGTATTCGATTAAAATTTACTTCTTAAGCGGCGCTTTAAATTAGTCTTTGCTTCTTTTTTTACACGGCATCACACATGTACCTTACCAAAAAGGCAAAAGCAAATATTGCATAAGAGGACTTGTAATTTTGCCACATCGCTAGTCTATGATGTACATGCTTTACCCTCGATTTGGAATGGGAGGAAAATAGGGAGACGAGAAAAGTAGGAGAAAAATACATTCTCCCTTCCTACCATAAAGGTTTTCTTATAGTCTTCCTGTCACTAAGGGGAAATTAGAAGATAAGGAAGCATTATTTTTCTTCTATTTTTTTTCCATGGTTTTATCTCATCCTTATTTTCTTCCCATTCCAAACCAAGCCTTGAAGTTTATGCCTAAAAAGTAATTTAAGAGTAAATTGTGTAGATCTCGATTGACTTTGGTTGAAATTATAAAAACTGTTGCTTTATATTGTTGACCTGAATGCCGTTTTAAACTAAAATATCGTCTTATGTATTTTTAATGAGGGTGTTTCAGTGAAAAGAAATAAAAAATAATTTATAGTGTGCAGTTTGAAAATAAAAAAAAAAGTTTTTATAATTTATAATATTATATATAATATAAAATCTATAGAAACTCATACTATTCCCAAACCATAAATAGTGCTACTCAACTTAAACTCTGTTTCTCTCAGGAAAAAAAAAAAAAAACCTGAACTCTGAATCGCGGAATCCATATTTTAGTTTTGATAAGCGTGTACAATTTACCTTAAATGTAAATGTGAGCACTAATCAATAAATCTTGAGTAAATTGCACGGACTTCTCTAATGTTTTATTGCAACTATAATGGGGGTCATTTGGGACTTAGGATTTATGAATAATGTGACGTCTATAAATTTTAGTAGTATATCTTTTTATTTGTGCTGGCATTTACATTTAGGCATAAGAGTCATTTTGAAACATCAGTTGTCAAGCATTCAAGTGTATCTACACCATGTCGGAGAGTTGGTGGGCATGATATATATATTAGAATGCCGCCATAATAACTTCTGATCAGTTTTAGGAGTATAGATGTCATTGTACATGCAAGACTGTGAGTTGTGACGGCTAATGCTTGTCTGATTCTGAGCCTCCGCATTATTACTATTATCCTTTGTTTTGTCTCGTTTTTAGATTCTGTCCTACTTGGGATATTGTAATGTCTGCAAGAATTACCATTATTGAATTTGTTTTCTACGAATCCTCATATGAATTTTCCATGTCCTGGTGCTTGTCTACGGTTCTAATATCTCTATTTTTTGTCTGTTGCTTAAGAGGAAGCGCCCTAGCCGAATCTCTGAATTGGAATCTCAGGTTGCTCAACTTCAGGATGATTTAGAGAAAGCGAGGAATCAGCTCTGTTCATCAGAGTCATGCAAGAGGCAAGCCCAGCAAGAAGCTGAGGAATCCAAGGAAAAACTCGTGTACCTGTCAGAAAAACTCACAGATTCTCAAAAGCAGCTTGAGGAACTCTCTGCCTCTAAAGATGCTCATGTAATTGAGCCTCAGGAAAAACCAGAAGAACATGACGAAGCATGGCAAGATGAGGTTAAGGCTGCCATGACTGAAATTCAGCAGCTCAAGGCCCAACTTGAGTTGATTACTGCTTGTGAGAATGCGCAAAACCAGCATACCGAACCAGCCAATTCAGAACTACTGAATCTGAAAGAAAGCTTGGCAAAAACCCTTTCTTTTATAGAGAACATGAAGAACCAGCTTAGAGAATGCAAGGAATCTGAAGCTCAAGCCCAAGCTTTGGTCAATGAAACCCTGCATCAACTTGAGGCTGCAAAAAGAACTGTAGAGTTGTTAAGGGCTGATTCTGCACGAGTTTTAGAAGGCTACAACTCCATTGCTTTAGAGTTAGACCAGTCTAGAGCAAGAGCGAATTCACTTGAAGCACTTGTAAGCAAGCTTGAAAATTTGAAGGTAGATGATCCAAATCAGATCGAAGGGGATATATATTCTCTGAAGTCTGAGATAAGAGAGCTGAGATCTGCACTAGAAATTACTGAGACCAAGTACCAAGAAGAACAGATTCGGAATACAGTGGAGGTTGGAAATGCCTATGAGTTGATGGAGCAAATAAGGTCAGAATCAACCCACAATCAAACTGAGCTTGAGGATGAACTGAATAAAAGAAAAGCTGAGATTGAAGAGTTGAAGGCAAACCTGATGGACAAGGAAACAGAATTGCAAGGTATAGTTGAAGAGAATGAGAATTTGAACTTGAAGCTTGAGAAGAGCCTATCAGCCCACAGAGAAAACGAGCTCAAAAAGGATGTTAAACGATTAGAGGAATGTGTGGCCGAACTGAAGGCTGATTTAATGGACAAGGAGACAACATTACAAAGCATATCAGAAGAGAATGAGACGCTGAAGATAGAAATCAAGAAGAGGTTCAGTGATGGTGGGAGAGTGAAAGAGGATGTGGAGGCAGCAAAGGAAGCAGAAAGAGAGGCTCTTTTGAAACTAGGGATTGCGATGGAAGAAGCAGATAGTAGCAAGAGAAAGGCAGAGAGGGTGGGAGAGCAATTAGAAGCAGCGCAAGTAGCAAACTCGGAAATGGAAGCTGAATTGAGAAGATTGAAGGTCCAGTCTGATCAGTGGAGAAAGGCAGCAGAAGCAGCTGCTGCTATGCTCTCAGCAGGAGGAGGAAACAAAAACAATGGGAAGCTTGCAGAGAGAAGTGTGTCTATGGACGGCAACTATGACAATAACCCTCTTATGGGCAAATGTTCATCTTTTGTTGAAGATATTGATGAGGATTTTCAGCAAAAGAAAAATGGCAACATGTTGAAGAAGATTGGGGTCTTGTGGAAGAAGCCTCAGAAATAGTCATTGTCAATGTTATTACTACTACGGTACTATACGGTTACTGTGGTGTTTATGTTTTGCTCTGTAAATTATGCGTCTGCATCTATATTTCTGAACTTATTTTGGAAGCTTGCGATTTCTTGTTTAATGCATTAGGTTCTACATGACATGACCCTGCGTTTCTTCAGAAACTAGAATGTCAGATGCTAAATTGGCGCTGATAAAAGTTTATCTGTCCCTCATGATTTTTCCTATTCTATGTGTGACGGTGATTCTCATATTAATTACAACTACAACAGCGAGTTCATAATGTATCAGAAGTTACCCTAATGGTTCATTGAAGACGGCAGTATCAGAAGTCATCCTAATGGCTTAATGAAGACGGCGGTGTCCTAAAATGCTCCATAAATTGAGTTTATCCTCTATTTTTTTCATTTTATTTAAAATATTATGTAATTGTCAACTAACTAACCGTCATCCTCTTTTTTATTTTTTTAATATGACTTCACCTTTTTAACGACGTGTCATTTAGTTGTTGGCAATCAAGTTCATGCTAAAATCAAATGGAATAATGAAAAAGCTTGCCCATGTATAAGTAACCAGAAAGTTTCAAATTTTGCTATCAAAATCTTGTTTAGATATTTTCTTCGTCCTCACAACACTACCACCAAACTTACTTCCATGAAATCATATCTGCAATTAATTGATCCTAACATCTATTTAATTAGTTTGTAATTTCAAGTTTGCTTGTGGCAAAAAAAAAAATCAAGTTTTCTTCTTTTTTTTTTAAGAATGAAAAATATAGTTTACTCAGTACATATATAGAAGTTGATGTTTTACTTGTAAATTACACTCTCTTTTGGGTATGGAGAAGTAACATTAAGAACAATCCCAATCACCCAGATGGCCACTAAGGATTAAACGTCTTAAAATAGGGTTTCAACTGGAAATGTAATATACCTTTTTATCCATGTCATCCTTTTAATATATAAAGCCTTATTTTTAAATAATAAAATATGCATTTATGAATAAAGAATAATCACATTCACCTGGATGGCTAGTAAGGATTTAAGGTTTTAGAATAGGATTTTAACCGGAAATGTAATATACCTTTTCATCCATGTGACCCTTTTAATATATTTAAGACTTTATTTTTAAATAATGAAATATGCATTTATGAATAACCAATGCTCGAGAAATCTATGCATCATTTAAGAAGTTGTCTTCTCTTCGGAGATATTTTTCCAAACACACTTTTAGAAATTGAACCCTAGAATAATGCTTAAGGGATCCAAACTGTTATCATTTATACCATACTTACTTGGTATGCTACTATTAGAATTTAATAATTACACAGTGCAACATTTTTTTAATCCAACTATGCAACATATTTTAATTTAATATACTATGATGATTGAATTCAATTTTTGATGACTCAAATTAAAAGAAATATGTTTAATTTTATTCTAGTTCAATGTTTGGGCTTGTGATCCATATCAATAACTCAGTAAAGAACCTATATATATTTCTACCAAAAAAAAAAAGAAGAACCTATATATATTGCATAGAAATTTGAAAAAAAATTGGTTGAAAATATGTTTGATGATATATTTGTAAGGGAAAAGATTTGAATCATGGAAAATTTATAGATTTTCAGAGACTAAAAAGGATAATTTGATTATTTTAATTTAAATTTTGATTTCTAGTCATATAAAATAATTCAATTTTATTAAGATGCTTTGAAATAAACAAGACTCTTTTTTTTTGTGGTGAAAAAATATAAAACTGCTGTAATTCTCTCTGAAACTAGGGGAGGATTTTATTTTATTTTATATTTTTTTAAAAAAAATAACTTTAAGTACCTGCACTTTATTTAGAATTTGTCATAGATTTTTATATTTTTCAGATATTTTAAATTTTAAATTTTTTTTTTGGTATCCAAGTCTAAAATTATTTTTCTTTTGTTTTTTTTTTCCCCAATGTTTCCTTTGACAAGCGCACCAAGGTCAGGGCTCACCCTTTTATTGGTTGGTTGTGGCGGGTGGTGGCCTAGCACGGAGCAGCTTCTTCTCAGCTCTTGCTTCTCCGTCCGCCCCCAATTCTCCAGGACGGCTCATTAGCTACACTTCACCATGGGGTGAGTTTTACTTTTCAGCGTTGTTTGATTAAGCTTGCTCTGCATGGTTGTTTACGTTGAGAATCTTCGCGAGAAAATTACTTAAGCAAGTGACACAATTTGTTGTTAACTATTTTTTTCTCTTGTCGTCAGGCTGAGATGATATTGCTAATAGCATCTCCTTGATTCGAATTTTAAACATTGTAAAACCATGTTATATGGCGCGAGTTTGAGGAAACTCAGCGTATAAGTTCTATTTTCATACCTCTGTTGATGTTCTCCATCTCCAATTTCTATCAAGTAATCATAGCATCGAGTATATATTTGGCTACGATTTGACAATATTTCAAATATCCTCTCTGATATTCAAGATTGTTCTTAGAAGTTTTTGTCATTACTCTCCATTTTCCTGCATGTTATCCTTTTGATATCCCAGGAAAAAACTCAAAAATAGTTTTGTACGTTTTTTACATATTAACTCATCATATGGTTGCTCTATGGGAACTCAGTAATCTTATTGTAGTATTTCATAAGGACGTCGATGTGTGCTGGGAAGAAAATTTTTCTTGTGGCTAGTCCTTACGACTAATTATAGCACGCTGCGTTGCACACCTGAGCACTCCCTTTTATGTTTTAACTATTGCTGGCTTCATTGTCCAAGATTATTTTGTGATTATTTTACTTCTCATTCCTGTAGTCTCTTTTGCGTATGAACTGACCATTTAGCATTAAATTATGAAATTAGAGATAGTTGGTGTCCCTTTCAGGTTCTTTCATGTTTCATGGTATTTTTAGTTACAAAGGTTGCAGCTTGTGCAGAGTGTTTGAATGATTGCATGAATAACAATTATTTAGGAATGCTGTCTTAACGCCCATCTTTGCATGACCCTTTTCTTCGAGCGACCGAGTCTTATATAATTTCTTAATAAAATGAAGTGTCTACTACAATTTCATAAATTTGATTGTTAGCTGCTTCTGCTGCAAACATTGTGTTTGGTTAAAGATGTGACTAAATTCAAAACTGCCGACATTTTTCGCATGATCAGGAAAACACATGGTATGGGAGCTGCTCGCAAATTGAGGTCCCATCGGAGAAGGCAGAGGTGGGCCGATAAGGCATACAAGAAATCCCATCTGGGTAATGAGTGGAAGAAGCCATTTGCTGGATCCTCTCTTGTAAAAGGCATTGTTCTCGAAAAAATGTGAGCCTAGTCCAGTAGATAAGTTGTTCTTTGAAAAAAATTGCTTAAAAGGCTTTTGTACTCGAAAATTTGATATAATATCTTGCATAATGTTCAACTCATAATCACTACCTTTTTTGTGTGGAATTGAGGCTAAGCGGCCAACTCTGCCATTAGAAAGTGTGCTCGAGTGCAATTGATCAAGAATGGGAAGAAGATTGCAGCCTTTGTGCCCAATGATGGTTGCTTGAACTTCATTGAAGAAAATGTAAGTTTTCAAAAATTGAGAGAGGAGCTGTTTTCGCCCTCAGCTCAGTAATGCATGTTTATTTATATGCAGGACGAGGTTCCGGTTGCTGGATTTAGCCGAAAAGGGCATGCTGTTGGAGATATTCCAGGAGTTCGATTCAAGGTTGTCAAGGTATCAAGGGTGTCCCTTTTGGCTCTCTTCAAAGAGAAGAAGAAGAAGCCAAGGTCTTGATCAATTCTATTTTGAAAATCCTTCTTTGCCTCGGTAGGTTCTTCACTTATAAATTTTAGAAGCTGAATGCGATTTTATATGTAGTTTTTGTTCACCTTGATTGTTACATTCAAGCAGGATGATTTTAGATGCCCCCTTGATGGGCTTGAATGTTAAATGAAGCTCGACTAGTTGAATTAAATTAAATTTAGTTAATAATTAATTAATTTAACATTAGTCAAATTAATTTTTACCAAGTGAAAATATTAAATTTGAATTGATCTTATTTAAATCCTAAAATATCTTAATTGATTGATTGAGATATTAAAAGTGGTTGCAGGATTTTCATCTTCAACCAAAAGTGGTTATACATGGATAACTCTCACTGTAAATAACACAACCATCCCTATAACTAGGAGCCAGAACACTGAATAAAACACTCCCTTAGTCAATTCTTAGCATGAGCACACAAATGTCTCAGATGCTCAATTCGGCAAGTGCCTCTCTGTTTCCCTATCTATTTTATGCATGGAAACTGCTATTTTGAAACACTTTCATTTGGACATTGAAGAATTATATAAGTTACTAGTTAATTGAACGATTTTGAGAGCATAGCAAACTTGTACATTGCTTGTCTCTATCTTCCAGCTTTTCTTAGTCTTAGTTGTTGTGAGAACTGGGACTGTTGCATCCACCTTCTACTCCTTCTGTCTCTATATATAAAATATTTTTAATTAAATCATGCAAATTAATAAAAAGTTAATTATGTAATTAAAAGTATAGTAACATTTCAATTTTATCTTTAATTATTATAAATAAAAAATATTTTTTTAAAAGTAAATTAATCAAGATACTTATTTTTTTTTAATTTAATAAAGATATAATAGTTCATTTATTAAAAAATATATTAATAATTTCTCATATTTAAAAATAAAAAAATTTTAAAAGATCTTTTACATACGGGAACGAGGAAGTACGTTTATTGGTGCCCTTAAGAGTAACTCGCATGTAAGTTACTGTTCAACCAAACAAAAGCCCCGGGTGGCCGGACTTGCAAACTTTTGATGCTTTCGTCGAGGATTTTTGGTGTGAGAGATTTCGATCTTTCTGACGCAAGAAAGACATGGCTGAAGGAATTTTTTGTTTCCCTCGGGAACGGGGAATTCTATAGGCGAATCAAATGAGGATGATATATAGATCTGCATCACTGGATTTTGTCGCTTCGCTACTCTTGCTGGCAGCTTTCAATCGAGTGTTTTTGGGTACCCACTTGCAATCTTCATTATTGAGATTCCTAATGTTTCACTTCTGACTCTGCATATTCCCTCTTGGATCTCAAATCTCAAGGTCCATTACGTAGGACTTGTTTTTGTTTTTGTTTTTCTTAAAAAAAAAAGTATATTTGATTACTTTGAAGGATTAACGGCATCCAATTATATCATTTATCCTAAAACTAAAAAGGATTGAGATAAAGAGGGCAAGGAGCTGTTTGGATTTTAGTTTAATATAATTGATTATGAAAATAATTAATTAAATATTTAATTTTAATTATAATTAATTATATTATAATACAATTTATTTGAATATTATTTTTTAAAATTTAATTTTAATATAATTGAAGATATTTGAATAATTTAATTAGAATCAATTTTAACTGTATATATTACCACAAAAGATATTACTTTTTAAAATTAAATTATTGATAAATTTATATATAATATTATTAAATTTATTAAATTTTATTTAAGAAGTAAAATATATTATTTAAATTATACGATTGATTAATTAAAAAAATTAAATTATATTAATATTAATATTTTAATTTATGTAAATAAATAACTCAATATATCTTAGTTTAAATAAATTTAATAAAAAATATTTAATTGTTAAATACCAAACATCAATTTTATAATAACTAATAAAGATGATAATATACAAGTTAATTTCTTATGATATCAAGGATTATAAGCCATATTTGATGAAGATGTTAAGCATTATCTTGAAATTTAACAACATAAAAAATATAGCAATATAACAAATAATACAAAATATGTCTTTCTAGAAAGCTACAACAATCTTTATAATGATCTTAAAATTTAAATTAAATTAAATTTTTTCTATTAATTAATACTTTATTTAAATTAGTTTTATAGTAAATACTTAATAAAGGGTAAAAATTAATAGAAACTTATGCTAGCAACTTTCTTGAAAATTCAAAGTTCAAATTTTGCAAAGATAAAAAAAATAATAAGAAAGTTTAGTTTTATTTTTATCAAATTTTGTGCTTTTTTTTTTTGGGCCTTTGTTGTCATTTTTCCATGTGCCTTTTGAACAGATTTATTTTTTATTCTCTTCCCCGGTGGAAAAGCCAGAAGCGCGCAGATTCAGCTTAGGGAAAAAATTGATTTTTCTCTTTATAATTGATTATCTATTGAAATTCGTGTTTGGGTATTTTTCAAAAAAAAAATTCAATTTTTTAACTGAAAAAATAGATTATGAAGCTAATCCAAACACGCAAAAGATGTGTTTAGAATTTTTTTTCTGCTTTATTTTTATCTCATTTTAAACTATTTTTTGTTGTATTATACTCCATCATTCAGTTTATTTGTGATTATTGAAGATTTAGATTCAAGCAATACACTTTCTGTGTGTGGTAATTAGTGTTTCAAATTTAAAACTTGGAACAATATTTGGGAGAACGACATTAAAAGGACAAAAAATTAAATAAAATTTAAATAAAGACCAAAAGATTTGAAAATGCAAAATAAGGATTAAAGGTTCACGAGTGAATCAATATAAAACTTTGTTACTCTCACTTCATAATTTACAAGTGAATTTGACGAGTTTTTCCTTTACAAATTAATGAATTTTACTTTCAAATTTTTGTTTTGATATTTCCAAATGTTGACAGAAAAAAAAAAAGATAGTTGCAAACAATGTAAAGTTTTTTAGACCAATTAACTAAGAAAATCATTGTTCCTTGTTTTAAATTTCTATTTTTTTTTGTTTCTTGTTTAAGTATAATTAAATCTTTCTGTCAATTTTCCCATAATGTTTTGCTATCTATCAATTTTATAATAAGGATTTAATTGGAAGAAATTTTTTTGTTTCCTTTAGAAAACACTATGTCTCGGAGGATCCATAACATTCGCCCCACAGATATGCACGCCTGGTACTTTTTTAAAAATATTATTCTTTTCCAAAATTAAAATATCAGGATATCAATATCAATATAAATTTTAATAGGAAGTCACAATCATTTATAAATCCTACACAATGAGTACCATTTCTCGAACTCAATCCAGAGCACGGGGAGTTTCCATCTGGCAATTTGTTGGGATGCGAAATACCAAAAAATAAAGAAATTATTTTACGCATGAAATCCAGTTAATATAAATTAGTAACAGAGATAATAATATAATAGCACAACATAGATTGTCAAATTCTTTACCCTACAGAAAAGAATTCCTTTCCAGTACCCTTACAAAACGACCTTAACGATAAGTGTTGTTTGAAGAATATGACAATCGGCAGCTTCATGCTCTCCATTTTTACGCAATTTTTTTGGGGGCATCGCGATATGCAATGCTTCAATTCAAATCTCTCTCTCCTCGGGGCAAAAAGCAAATTCAAACCTCTCTTTAAAATAACTATAAACGTTGCAATCGTTGATGGCGGATATAGTTATTTGAATTAAATAAATATCAGATTCATGGTAGTCCTATCCAATGGTTTGCTAGACAGGGTTGAAAAAAATGGCGGAACATCGGATGATTCCAAGAGCCTCCCGACCCGATTAAAAGAAATTCAAAACGCGATCCAGCCAATGCGGTTCATTTGTCATTGATTCGAGAGGCAAATTCAAATAATTTTCAAACTGATTACTGACGTTTTCTCACGCCCAAATCCTAACATAGATTTGATCCGCCAAGAGAGACAAAAATCCTAACCGAAGTTGGTGCACATGCTTCACTGAAATTTCTAACTCTTAGGGGCACGAGAAATTCTCCATTCATTTTGTAATTAATTATATCCGCAGTTAACTATATTATGCAGTTTAGTAATTTGATGATGGTGCTGCATGTTCTCAGTCAGATTCTGCCTGATCATACAAAGACGCAATCATGGCAGAATATCTCGAAAACACTGCTACCTTCAAAACGCAGAGGAGCTAAAAATACCGATTCCAACCGATCAGAGAGTCCAGGCTCAGACTGCAATCAACCATGAAACATCACTCTCATTCTTTTCTCTCTCCCGCTTCTTTTTGTCAAATAGCCGAATAATGATTCTTCATCTACTTCTCTCCAACTTCCTTGACTATCATTAAAAAAACCAAACAAATCTGAAATGTTCTTAAGTGGGAAATTTTTTTTTAAAAAAAAGGACGCAACCAAGAAGACATGATGATTTGATTCAAAACCCGAGGAATATTGAAAGTCTAAGAGTTTGGCCAAAGAAAAAAAAAAGTTCAAGAGCGATAGATTCTAGTCAAACATGAGGGGAAATCATCACGGCCCTGTGATTGTTCTCTCTTGGAGTTTTTACATTAGGGGACTATTAAGAAGCCCGTGCCAAGACGAAGTGAGACTGTTCCAATTTGCTCTTCCTGAATCAATTTCACCCATATTCGTGTCTCCATTAAGCTGCCATGGAAGACCCCACAAAACCTTGGTGTCACCTTGTTCTCTGCCATTGCACATTTCCTGCTTCATGGTAGTGACAGTGACTGCTTGAGTAGTGGCATTACTCACTTCTTGATCAAATGGAAGCATAATCTCTCCACTAACCCCAGCAATCCCACAAGCATTACTATTATTGCCATTATCCACCTCTCCCGAGTCCCCATTTCCATATCCGTAGTACAGATCCTGGAGACTATTACCCTGTGTTTCAAGGAATCCACTACGAAGTGCATCCAGAAATCCAATGTTTGTGGAAGACAGGTTTCCAAGGGAATTTCCCATAACGGAAAAATCATGGTCACCAAAGCCCAATTGCCCGCAAGATTGTTTTTGGAGTCTAGCCATTGCAAGAGTGAGTTCATTGGGGTCATATGATAATGGAGGGAGGGGGGTGATGAGTGGGTTGGAATTGGGTGTGACTGATTGATCCTGAGCTCTTTTTGATGACGACGACGAAGATGACGAGGACCTTTTGTTCTTCCTGCAGCCTCCGCCCACTGGAACATTCCTCAGAGTTCCTCCTTTTGTCCAATATCTCCTGCAAGACTTGCAGAAATATCTTGGCTGGGAGAGACTGTAATTGTTGTAGTAACAGAATTTGGTGTTGGTAGAGTCGCATCTTGGACACTTCAGGGCCTGTTCTGGCTGAGGTCTTGGCTTTCTCTCTTGATTCTGTGCCTTTGGACAAGCCAACATATTCTCCAAGGACTGGCTAGGCATTTGCTGCGAGATTGATCGGAAAAAAAAAATCACAACGAAATAAAAAATGCATCTTTAAATCTCTGTTCAATCTGTGAGTGATATGTACATGTATACAAGTAATCAGAAAGGTAAATTTAAGGTCAATCACCTGCCTATTGTTGGAAAAAGCAGATGGAGATCGGGAGGTGGAGATTCATCTTTAAATAATTCCAAGAGTTAAAATAAAAAACTAAAGAGCATAAATTTCTCTCCAAAAGAAGTTCAAAAAAAATTTGGTTCCGAGCTCATTCCTGTTAACTTTGTTCAAACCTCGCAAAGATTTAGATTGTAAAGTTTGCCCTAACTTCCCAGCTCAAAAAGAAATTAAATATATTATATATAACAAATATATCAAACTCGGAAGTTTCTCATGCGTATGTTCCAAAATTTTGCTAGAAAAGGGGCGAGCAAAATGAAATGGCTGAGAAGTTCGCTTGTTCGTTGATTCTTCAGATTTCATGACATATATACACAGAAGCTGAGGGAGGAGTGGAAGCAGAAACCAAAATCATAATCAGAACAAAGAGTAATGCAGTATATGATTGAATGAAAGTGGAAACGAAAAAGGGACAAATAAGAGGCGCGTGTATGTAATTGCTAGAAAGTAGAAACGCCCATGTGTGTGTGTGAAGCTACCTGGTGTTGTCCACTTGAAGGATCCATCCATACAGTCTCAAATGAGGTGGCCTCAGTGATGAGAGGGAAATATGAGGTTGTTGTAGAGGAAGAAGATATCTGCGTTTGTGTGAAGTGATGGCTAGTGGTGGAGAAAAGGAGGAGAGGGAAACTGAGATGGGTTGGGTGTAAAGACTAGAGTCATGCAAAGCGAGGGGAGAGGATAGAAGGAAGAGGGGGTGAAGTGAAGATATATAAAGCAAGAGAGAGAGAGAAAGAGTAATGATGGGGCATGCCGTACGACATGATAGGTGAGGTTGGCTTGCACGCAGAGAAAGCATTAAGAAAATTCCAGTCCTTCTATTTCTAGCCCCAAATCTCTCTTCTGCCACCGTTTCATTTTCATTTCATACCCAGCACCAGCATCCAGGCTGCAAATTCTCTCCCTCCCTCTGGGTGGCCGGCGGTCCCACCCTCGCGTGGATTCAACTATTAGTAGGGTCCACATCACATCTCCTCCCTCGCTGTCCCAATTCATTCGCACAAAACCACCTCTGCCATTTTCTCAGCCTCCCCCGCGCCGAGTCGCCGAGAACCTCGTGTGTTCCAGTTCCCACATATATTCACTTCACCTTCACCGTTTTTTTCCGTTTTTTGTGTTAAAGTTTAAATGACTTGCACTATCAAACACAGATCTCTCATTTCAAGTAATATTTCCAAATTATCAACCAATACGTTACAGACAAAATCTGGACTCACGCGCACACACTTACATGATCTATTTGAGCTAGAATGACAATCTTTCCTTTGGCCTTATGTTTCATACTAGCTTTAAAAAAAACACAGACAAATATTTATACTTGTGTAGAATTATTAATAAGAAAATAAATTAAAATTAGTTTTAAAAGATATGGTAACGTGGTATTCTTTGCTATTGTTATAATAAAGCAATTTTAACTATTTCACTAAAATTTAAAAAACATATTTAAATTATTAGTTATATTTAAAAATATTAAAACTCAATTTAATCAGTTTTTAATTAATGATTTAGAAAAGTTCATAATAAGAATTATTCATTTATTTCAAAGGTGTATCATGACATGGAGGAACATAATAATGATTAAATTTAAGTTTGGTGCTGTGGATAAAATATTTGTTTGTGCAAAGGAGGAAGAAACATTTGTTAAATAATTTAGTTGAAGGAATGATCTGGCAGTGGAAGAAGAACAGAGATTTGGTGGGAGAAGGGATGTTGGGGCTGTTCATGGAAAGAGGCGATGGGACCCAGCGGGGAAGAAAGAGGGAGGCATTTGATTTTGATGTGACATTAATTGAGCGGGCAAGCCTTGTCGTGCTTTGTTTGTTGAGTGTTTTGGCTCTTTCTCAACTCTTCATCATTCCTCAGGACAAGCACCGGACATCCTCCTTTTTGTTTTTTTGTTTTTTTTTTAATTAAAAACTGAATGATTTGGGTCTCCACGCACACCTCGGCTCAGCGAAGGAAAATCTGGAGAGGCTTGTTACTTTGTAATGCTTATTGTATCGGAAGTTTTCCATATTGTTATAATTATAAAATCAATGAGAAAATAGAGATATGAAAATAAGAGAAAATTTCAGTTAAGTACTACTATAGTAACTTAATTACATGTGAGTTCAAAAAATTTTAAATTTTAATTCAGTTCAGAAAAAAAAATTAAAGAAATTTTGATGATGAAAAAATTAAAATTCCCATCACTTGTTATACAAAATTAGTCATTAATTTTTTTAATTTACTTATTAATTTATTAATTTTTTTAAAATAAAAAAAATTAATAATCAGTAATTTTATGTAACAAGTGAAAAATGTTTTAATCTTTTCATTTCTTAGAGTAAACTGAGATTCTAAAAGTTTTGTGAACCTGATTGTAATTAAGTAGTCACTGTAGTCGTTAACTGAAATTATCCCCAAAATTAATGAATGAATGGAATGTTTTCTATCTGATATCGATAGAACAAAAGCATAGGTATGAGTTATTTAATTTGTTTGGGGGCTGGGCCCAGGGGGTTGGACGTGGTCCCTCGCCCCCTTTGATTGGCATCAATTATAAGATGTGCGCACACTCACTCTCACTACCCACCAAAATTTCTTCCACATCACCCATTCATACAGGGCATGCCACTCCCATCCTCGTCCTTTCGCTCCCCATTACGACATTCCTATCCCCACTTTGCCCCGACACTCCCCGCTCACTTTTTTAATTATTCCCAAAATTACGTTATTAATTTTATTTAAAAATAAAATAAACTTTTAATTTTATTTTTATTTAAATAAAATAATTTTAAATTTATATTACATCTTCTCTCATAATTAATGAGTTTTGAATAGGGATAATATTAAAATATATTAATTAATACATCATCAAGTGTTTCATATTAAAAGTCAAATAATTCTTCAAGAATGTACCTGTAATATGAACCAAAATGAGTACTTTATATATATTGTACCCTTGCACAGACATGGAAATACGTTCCAACTCGCAAGCTGTCCCGTGTACGTCCCTTCGACCATTCCATGCTTCCTTTCTTGTTTCATTTACTCATTCCTATATAATAGATGTCCTTGTTATCTTTTCAATTTTTCATAAGTCATGAATAATGTGATCCATCTTAAATTTTATGTAATACATAAAAGATGTGTGTAATTATGAAACTAATTGTGTGCAACAAGTGTAGTGCTCTCTCTGTTTATATATATATATATATATATAATAACGGTATCTTAAGAAAATCGATTAAAACTACATGAATTGTTTAATCAAAATAATTGTGTACGGAAATAAAAAACTAGGCTAAAATGTTTAATCAAAATAAGATTATATGAATTGTTTCTCATGAGTAAAAATTATGAGTTTATAAAGGGTAATTTAAAAAAATTGTAAAAAAAATTTATTGAGATATATGATTTTACTTAAATATAAATAAAAAATAAAAAATGATAGTTTTTTTATATATAAAAATGGAAAAAAAAATGGTACTGATAAAGGAAGCAGGCCTCGAATATTATTATTTATTAGTTATTATATTAACCCCCACTTTCTCTTTCCCTCTGAATATCCGCTATCATATGATTGTTAGTTATTACAAATCCAATTCACCTCCCCGTAGGCTGGTATAAGCTTCAGAACATGTGGGAATTTAAAAGATATGGACATTAAAAATTAAGGACAAATGTTCAGATACACTGCATATTTAAAAGCTTAAAAAAAAAAAAGCGTCCAATTAATCGGGATAATGCGGTGCTGTGCCCTTGAGAGAAATCGTGGTTGCATCCAGCGAGGGAATGATTGTGTGACAGTTACCATCATTCGCCAATGCAGAATGATTAATTTCGTCCGCTTGTTTGATCTTCCAAGCTTCAATCAGATCATTCTCACACATGGTAGCTGTTTTGTCGTTTTCCTGTTATCTAAAAAGCAAGGTCCTTTTTGAATTTTGACTCCGATTCAAAATTTAAAAGCTAATCCCATTATTACAATACCAAATCGTATTACCTATTTATGTTGTCCCATCCTCCTTAGATCCATGTATATAGATCTCTTTCATTTTTCCTTCTTCAACGTGCTCGCAGCACGTATTATACGAATATTAGGGATGCATGGGTATCGTAATATAATCGATTAGCAATATCTGATTACGTGCTATTAATTATAGGATGACAGAATAATATTTGAAACAACGCATCTAATAATCACGCCTCAAACCTCGAGTGTATATCATATAAATGTCAATAAAAAAATAGTTATCACGTTTTTCTCTTGCTTTTGATGCTAAATGACTTTATAAAATACATTTTTTCAAAAAAAAGAAATCATGCTCTCGAGACCAAGCAATGAACTAAAATAGAACAGACAAGACTGACTGATCTCGCCCACCCCTGTGCATCGTATGCCAAGTTCCCCACATTCTGTTACTCAGATGAAATTTGTTTGTCCCGCGAAATTGAAGAGTGAATTATATGATCATGAGTATTAAAACACAATTGTGTTCATTTTTTTTGGGGGGGGTTATCAACCACCCATATCCATTATTCAACTCACTGTTTAAAAATCGGACAAAAATAAATCTTGAAAATTTAAAAATACCGTCGTTTAATTTGATTTGGTTTTAATTAAGACATATCTTTGTGGAGGATAATGAAGCTGATCAAGAAAGATGATTGGAGGAAGCAAGAATATATGGTGGGCCATGGAATGTAGGGTGGGGCATAGAACATGAACATCATAGAGCTCAGTCATGTTTGGTTGACTGGTCAAACATAAGTACCAGTCAAAGAAACACAGTGAAGTGCAGGGAAAGTGAAAGAAAGAAAAATATATAAAAATAATATAAAGCAAGTAGCGGGAACTGTGCCTAACATGCCCAGGCATACAATACATACGGTGATGTTGTTCGTGTTGGCATTTCTGTGAAGAAAAGAATCTAATGTTCCCACTTCCCACCGCCTTTTCTTCCACACAGAATCTCTGTCTCTTTGCTTGAAATTGATATCTCCTCACTTGATTTCTTGTGCCTCTTTTGGTCTAAACCGTAAACATTTCTTGCGTCCCTAGTTGGATGCGACGGGATTCACGTTTTATTATAAACAAATAAATAAATAATCTCAGTCATCCTCGAGAGAATATGAAATATAAACTTAGTAAATCAAACGTGTCAGCATTATATTGATACATGTATGATTCAATGCTGGCCGCCAAAAGATTGATAATTCAATTAGAAACTTGCAGTTATTTTATTGATCCGTATCGTATGAGATCAACGGAGCTAGTTTCGAAAAAATGATGATAATCGTGTCATTAAAAGTAACGAGCTCACATTCCAACGTTTCGTTCAGGATCTTTGTGAAGGAAACAGAAAATTAAATTGCTTTTTATCGACGACACTTTCCCTTCCCACAATAACGGTAAAAGTATTCTATTGACAACTTCACGTCTTTTTCTTTTTCTTTTTCTTTTTTTCCAACACTCCATATACTCAA